GGACATGTCTTGTTTTGAACATGTCTTGTCTTGGACGCGTCTTGTTTCGGACATGTCTTGTTTTGAACATGTCTTGTCTTGGACGCGTCTTGTTTTGGACATGTCTTGTTTTTGACACACCTTGTTTTGGACAGGTCTTGTTTTGGACATGTCTTGTTTTGGACATTGTTACCTTAACCTTCAGGGTGTTGACAGGAAGTTTGTCCAGGGAGACAGTGAGAGGGAAGATCACTTCGTCTGTCAGAACCACCGGCTCGTCCAGAGGAGACTGAAACAAGCCAAGAGAAGAAAATCTACAGAACTCGTCTTATTTTGTCCATCTTCTCTGAGAATCCTGTAAACAGTTTAACTTTAGACAATCAGCTCTAAAGCAAGAACTGGATCAGAACCTTGATCCATATGTGTTGGTCTTTATGATGAAAACTTAGCAGAGTGTCTCAGATGTCAGAGTAAAGGTTTTTCTAAACTGGAAGTTCTTCAGTCTAAAGGTGAAAACACGAACTGAAACAACCGTTTCTCTGACTTTGATCCTTGAGCAGCTGCTGTTTAATAGATCCAGAGACCAGGCTGTAGGACGTTCCTCGGTTCTGTGGGTTCAGGGTTCTACTGTAGGTCTGACCTACTAATGAGCCAGAAACATTTCCTGGATGGGATTTCACAGCACCTCCAGCTACTCTATTATTTGAAGGAGACAGACCTGTGAGCTGTTGTGTACCTGAACAGGTGCCCTGCGGAACTCCCTGGAGGTGGTCCCAGACGAGTTGTGGATGAGCAGTGGTTTGCAGTCCCTGAAGCTCCGACAGCGAGAGTCTACCCTGCTGCCCAGCGCTGCGATGGCTGCCTCCGCCGCAGCCATGTAATCGTCCTCGCCGTCCTCATCCCCGCTGATCTGGTAGTCTTGGTGGTGCTGGTTACTGCGGTGCCGGCTGCTGTCGCCTGGACTCACGCTGGCCACAGCACACAGGGTACCGGCCAGCTCCCTCCACGCACGACAACTGACAGATTCTGACCCGAAACCTGCAGGAACTCCATCAGCACCATCTGCAGGCAAAAGGACATCATGGACTCTATTTTTATAAAACATGTTTGAAAATGGGCGGCACGGTGGTGCAGCTGGTAGAGCTGCTGCCTCTCAGCGAGCAGGTCCCTGGTTCAAACCCCGGTCCAGGGACCTTTCTGGGTGGAGTTTGCATGTTCTCTCCGTGCTGCGTGGGTTTTCTCCGGGTGCTCCGGTTTCCTCCCACAGTCCAAAAACATGCATGTTAGGCTGATTGGTAACTCTAAATTGTCCCTAGGTGTGAGAGAGAGTGTGAATGGTTGTTTGTCTCGTTTGTCTCTATGTGTCCCTGTGATGGACTGGAGACCTGTCCAGGGTGTCCCCCGCCCCTCGCACAGTGATTGCTGGACATGGGCACCAGCGACCCCCGTGACCCAAAATGGAATAAACGGGTAAAGATAATGGATGGATGGATGCTTGAAAATGTATTTTCAGAGGAGGAGCTAAAACAAAAAGCCTTGCGTCATGACTTTATCTGATGACATCACTCCTTTGAACGTACGTATGTGTGGCAGTTTGAACATGTCAGGCACGAGTTCATCTGATTTAATTCAGAGATGTGGTACATGTGGTGGAACAAAATGATGTTCACAGGGTCCCAGTTACAGCCAACAATAAAATGTAAAAGAAAACAAAAACATCAAATAAATATACACTAAGCGCTAATAGCATAAAAATAATACACTGAACAGCAGCACGAACATGAGCATGAGTCTGTGTGAGCATGAATGAACACATCAACATGAAACAGATCAGCAGCAGCATGAAACAGATCAGCAGCAGCATGAAACAGATCAGCAGCAACATGAAACAGATCAGCAGCAGCATGAAACAGATCAGCAGCAGCATGAAAAAGATCAGCAGCAACATGAAACAGATCAGCAGCAGCATGAAGCAGATCATCAGCAGCATGAAACAGATCAGCAGCAGCATGAAAAAGATCATCAGCAACATGAAACAGATCATCAGCAACATGAATCTGATCATCAGCAACATGAATCTGATCAGCAGCAACATGAAACAGATCAGCAGCAACATTGAAACAGATCAGCAGCAACATGATGTGATTTTCCACAGTGATTATTCTAGTTATAGATTCATGAGTCTAACAGCCTCAGGGTAGAAGCTGTTCCTCAGTCTAGTGGTTCTACACTTAATGCTCCTCAACCTCCTTCCTGAGGGGAGTGGGGCAAAAAGTGTGTGTGCTGGGTGAGTGTGGTCCTTCATGATGCAGGTGGTCCTCTTCCTGCATCTGGAGGTGTAGATGTCTGTGATGGTGGGGAGACTGACTCCAACATCTTCTGTGCAGCCTTCACCACTCTCTGCAAAGCTTTTCTTTCTGCAGCTGTGCAGCCTCCATGCCACACATTGATGCTGGAGCACAGGATGCTCTCCACTGCACACCTGTAGAAGGAGGTGAGGACTGCAGCCTCGGCCCTCTTAATCCCAGCGACCAGCTCTTTCCTTGTCCTTCAGCTCCTGTGAGTTTCCAGACCTGCAGGCAGTGTTCCTGGCTTCCAGCAGGGTGCGTACCTCTGCGTTCAGCCTGTTCGTAACTTAACATCTGATGGTGGTGACGTCATCAGCACATTTACTAATGTACCCCAGGACTGAGGATGGGCCCAGAGGTGGTTCAGGTCTTAACAAAGTTTTCACTCCAAAGACCATTCTGGTCTCTGCTGGTCTCTGTCTTCAACTGGACCAAACTGGGTCCAAGAGGACAAAAAGACGAGAACCAAGGTGTTGTTACGGTCCAGTCAGAGTCCAGAACCTGAACATGGTGGGACCTGGACCAGAAGTCTTTTAGAACCAGGAGACAGAACCACTGAGGATTCTGGAGGAGGTTCGACTGGACCCAGAAGCTGATAAAGACCGGGTCATTTCTGATGAACCCAGGACCTGAAGGCGGGCGGGGTCTAATTGCTGGTCAGCAGCAGGTTCGGTTCTGATGGTTTCAGGACTCCAAAAAAATGAGGTGGTCCAGATGGTCTGGAACCGTTCGTTCTAAAACTGGCTGCTGATTTGATCGATGAGCTTTTAACTTGTATTTAATTTAATTTAATTTAATTTAATTAATTTAATTTAATTAAATTAATCTAAGCCTGATCACAAACAACGTTCCTGAAGTCTGGAAATCTGCTCAGGTTCTTCCGTTGGAACGAGGAGAACAATCGTGAGAAGGTACAGACGCGTCTGTAAATGTGTTCCAACAAAAGTGTTTGGAAAGTTGTTCTGAGGTCGACTGAAGCAATTCTTAGAGACAGAGTCTTTTAAATCCTTTCAGTCCCGCTTCAGTTAACAGCTCTGCTGATCAATTATTGATATGTCCAAGACGATTGATCAATTATTGATCCGTCCAAGACAATTGATCAATTATTGATCCGTCCAAGACGATTGATCAATTATTGATACGTCCAAGACAATTGATCAATTATTGATCCGTCCAAGACGATTGATCGTTTATTGATCCGTCCAAGGCGTTTGATCGTTTATTGATTTATCCAAGGCGTTTGATCGT